GTGGAGTGGGGTGTGGGACTGAGCTGTGGGTAGCTCCCCCAGGGAGGGAGGGCTCTCTGCTGCTGTACATACCCCTGGGGGAGGCATAGGGGGAATGTGCCCCCTGGATTGTGCTCAGGGTAAGGGTGGGCTGCAGGCTGCGGGCTGCGCTGGCCTCTTCCTGGTGCGGGCAGGCTGGGCTCATCTGTGCAGGGCAAGAGGCAGTGACACTGGGAGGGGGGGTTGCTGGATGGCCAAGGCAAATTTTGGTGTGGTTGTAGCTCACCCTGTAGCCCCCCTTCTCAGAGGCACTGCTGCCTGCAGCCCTGGCTTTGAACCCGCAGCGGATCCACTGGGAAGAGGCCAGTGCAGTCCTTAGCCCTGAACCAACAGTGGGCAGCCTGCACTCACCCAATGCACAAATCCAGGGGACACATGTCCCCTATGTGTCCCACAGGGGTGTGTGCAGGGGTAGGGCGCTGCATGCAGTAAGACTCCAGCATGCAAATTAGTACTACAATGGCAAGAAAAAGGACAAAGGAGGATAGGAAAGTGCGACTGCATATCAGTTATCAGATCGGCATTGGCCAATATGGCTGATTAATATAATTGGCCATCAGCATCAGCCAAAAAAATCTTTACCACTGCACCCCTAAAAATACTATTCCCTTGAATCCTCCCTTCCTCCCCCATGATTTGTGGTCCCCCCGGGTAGATATTCAGGCTTCTCCCTCTCACCTGCTCTGTGGACATGCATGTATCAGCAAAGTCAAAAACTCTATGTAAAGCTGTAACAAAGTAACTTCACATTTGGGGAAAGGGAAGCAATGTCCTGGGAAGATGAAAGAATGGGGAAGCTGCCCAGGAACTGGTTGTAACTGCTGAATGCTGTAACCAGGAAATGATAAGAGCTCAAAAACCTACAGGTTCCTCTTGTATTTAGTAAATGAGTGGACTGGAGAAAAGAAATTCTAGGAAGAGGGCATGAAGACCAGTGAACTTCTAAAGACTCAAATGTGAAATGCTGTTTAACTGGATCACTTCTGACTGATTAAGCCACTGACCATGGGGCATTTGTCATCTGACCATTTCTTAAGGAACCCTAGCAAAATACCCCTTTCATTTTAGCCATGTTACTGGGCCCTGTAGCATCTGAAATGTGAGCTGATAGTGCTTGAGGAATTTGGTACATCACAGCTCTGAACTAATGACAATTATATCCTAATAACAACTACAGATCCTGATGAACCTCTAGCCTTCTGGAGGATCAGCTATTCAGCTGAAAGCTTGGATTCTTATTTAAACATATTAGTCTTTCTGGTGTGGACTATCATGAGGTTAACCTCCTGACTTCAAACCACATCACCCTGACTTGCGTTCTGTATATTCAGACATGACAAGTGAACAATGAAGCTTGCCTGGAAGCATTAGCAAGAGAAAGGCAAGACAATACCTATGCACATGGTCTGGGAACAAGTTCCTTACGCATTTGCCTCAGAGGCAAAAGGAACACTTTGAATATCAATTACGATTTTGTTGAATCTTACTTCAAGGTTGTAAGCTGCTCTCACTTTTGTCAAACCCATTGCTTATTCCTCACAAGGAGGAAAACAAAAGATGAATCCATGAGAAAATAAAGGTCACTTTTAGTCCAAACTGTTACGGAAAGGTTCAAA